TCAGAGAGGGTCCCTTCAACTGGATCAACAAGGAGGGAGAATTCGCTCTTGCGCAAGAGTTGGTGTGATTTGCGTCGAGGTTGGTGTGAGCCTGGGGATTCCAAAGACCATCCCACGTGCCACACCTGCAGCCCCACGGCAGAAATTGCTCATCTTCGGCCCACTGACTTCTCACATCAAGTGCTGTCAAGTCACTTCAGATCGTCGATGAACAAAACAGGTGGACGTGCTCACGACCAAGAAGTATATGGAGAACATGACGCCACCTGGGGCGTTCGTATAGTATGGAAGGTGGTGGGAGGGCACGACTCAGCTAAAGAACAACTAGTAACGAATGTACCCTGCACCCTTCTCAATGGGAACCCCAACGGTACGTAGTACGGAGCAGACGCCATGTTTCGGAAGAGCCAGGCAGTGCACCCACCAATGCCTTGCAGCGCCCATTGTCCCACATCGAGTTCACCCGTGTTTGTTTGGGAGGAGCCAAAAGTAGATGCAGGCACTTCACCCAAAGAGCAGTTGTAACTAACAGCTCTTTGTTCGCTCAAGCAGTTCTGTTCAAGTGTTTCTGCATTTTGGGGTCCTAGTGAATGCTCTTCATTTTTTGTCAGAAGCCATTTGCATGTGTTTGCTCAACAAGAAAGGTGTGCACATGAAAACTGCCCTGCCCCTTTTGCTCACAGAAGTTGAGCCTTCCAAAAAGAGGCCGCCAAACTTTCTGACGTTCTTGTTGCAGGGGACAATTCAGAATCCTAGTTCCGATTCCTCGCTTCGCGCCGGAATCCCCAGACCCTCTCAATTTGAAGTGTCCCGTTTTTGTATTCATGGAATTTCGACGTGCTTTTCAAATCGCCCAAGAAATCGAACCGTGACAACGCGCTGTTTTTTTTCAGAACACCGCCGAAGCGGGCGCATGCTGAAGGAATTCTGAATGCTACACATGGCGAATCCATGGTTGTTTGAATCCTCGTTTCTGAGAGGAAGCCTTTCGATCTCTTTCTGTTTGGTTCAAACAATGGCTGATCTTTCAACAGGCGTGGGAACAGGCCAAACCAGTGGCGAAACCCAATGTCCCATGTCATATTGCTACACTCATCTCAGAACGGGCTGATGAAAATGGCTTTGTTGCCCGAAAACTGTCTGAAGAAGCGTACTTGATTGCTGGTTGCTTCCTTCGCGCCTGGGTTTGACCAGCTGTTCTGAAGTCAGGGTCAAGGAAGGATCCTTGGAAACCAAAGGATGTCTGGCAAGTGCCGCTAGGCTGGCGAGGTTCTCGTCGAGAGCTCGAGTCTTGGTTCCGCTGTGCCCACGGCCCACTGCCAAGCCCGAAAAGACCAAGGAAGCAGCTCCACGACATGCACACCACACAGGCGCAGATGGCGACCAGGAGAGCCACCCCTCAGTCAAACGCAACGAGCGTTTAGGTGGAAGGAAGCCAGTCGTGGGTGGCCGGCGGTCTTTTGCCTTCGTTCTGAGTGGGAGGAATGTGCTGAGAACGAAGCAACATCTATCTTTCAGATCGTTCTTGTTGTGGGAGTGGTCGGACCGACTGAGCAAAGACAACATGAACAGAGAGAGAGAGAGAGATCAGGAAGCCACAAAACAACTGCCTCCAAAGCAAGCTTTCTTCACCTTTTGTCACACCCTCTTTCAGCCGCAGCTTTTGCGCAGCTTTCTTTACGCTTCCGTCGCAGGATGACACAGCTCGAACGCCGCCCCGCCGGCGACGGCGCGGCCGCGGCGGCTCCGCCGCCCTCGCGGCCGCAGACGGAGGCCTCGCGACGCTTGGTGGTGGCCATTCCGCGGCGCCGCGTGCCGCCGAAGTGGTGAAGGCGGCGAGGGGGCGGTCAGACAGGGCGGTGAGGTGAGCGAAGGCGAAGCTGGAAAGAAGGATGTTAGACCATTTGAGAAGGTCATAGATCCTAGATCTATTTATGGATGAATTGGCAGATGATGCCCTGTTCCGGGAGCTTTTGGGGCTTGTGTTCAGGTGGAAACGCTCACTTCAGCAGGGAGCAATCTTCCTTTCATGCCTGAGACATCCTGAGACCCAGGAAAGAGAGTCCGGTTGAAAAGCCGACGTTGGGTTCAGAAACAGGTGGCTCAGTGTATTGGGGTCTCCCAAGTGCAGCTTCCAACGTTCAAACCGAAAACGGCTCTCGGTACTCTCGTTGTTGCCTTCTTCGGGATTGCCTTCTTCTCACTGAGATCAGTCCTTCCAAGTGCTGCACGTGGTCCGATCCTGTATGTACCAAGTACATCGCTACATCACCAGTGCACAGAGACCTGGCCAAACATGTTCCGATTCCGCGTTGGTCCCAGGGTCTTTTCCGGCGCGGCAGTCCGCGCCAGTCTGACATCGGAGGAGCGGTCAGAAAGCTTCAAGTCCTTCACTGACCGAAGCCCCCAAAGCACGACGACTCTCGGGACCATTGTGGAGGCCTCCGACTCTAAACAGTGGACCTGCGGATTTTGAGCTGGCAGCTTCCCTCGAAGGCTCTTGGAAAACATCATTGCTGGTGTTTTCTTTCGCCTCGTTCATTGGATCAAGCTAAACCATGGGACCACGCGTCGGAACCCGAGCATGACGACCGCCGGAGCGGTCCGGTCCACCCCCACCGTCTTCGAAGCGTTTCGAAGCCTTTGGGCCAAAGGAGCCACAGGCAGCGGCCTCCCAGCGAATGCAGGAGAGGTTTGGCAACGTTCATCCGTTTTCACCGTCCTTGAAGAGGTGAGGTGTGCAGATGGTGACAGATGTTGAAGCTTGGAACAGATGTAGGAGCTTGGTGACATCCCAGTGGGTGCCAGACCGGCAAGACGATGGGCAAACCCTAAGGATCCGCACCCTCCAAAAACCAGGGTTTGGTTCGGGGTGCCCAAAGCCTTGTGAACAGCAGGGTTCGACCCCCCTTGTGAACTGGAGGGTCCGGACGACCGGATCCTTAGGGTGAACAACGAGGACCGGATGTCAAAGTCCCAGTCCAGGAGACCTGGTAGTCGAAGGGTAGGGTAGTCGAACGCCACTCATGTCCAGGATCCTGGTCGACTTCTCAGCTCGGAAACACACTAAAACTCGTTCCCTCAACCTTCCAAGACCCCCCAAAAAATGCAATGCATTGGGTCAATGGTCAGGTGACCCCAAAAAAGGAAGGACCCCTTTGGCCCGGCTCCGGCCTGGCCCCGGTCCAGATTCACCTTGATTCAACGATGCAAGCGCCGTTCTCTCACCGAACGCCGACCTCACCGAACGCCTGTTTTTTCACCGCTCCACCGGCCACCGTGCCGGGCGCAGCGAGCCGACCGCGCCTCCACGATCGACGCGGTCAGCTTCCGCGGTTGAACAAAGTCATGACAGGCAGCCGGGTGCCGAGTCGATCGAGAAAGCCCTAGATCACATGCAATATATATATATATATATGCCTATATATGCCTAGAACCATATGCCTAGAACCTGATTGACCCCTGTCAAGACGGGGTGGTGTGGCTCGTCCCATCCAGTGAGTGGAGTAGCTGGGCACCCGTATCCTCCATGGACCGCACCCCGTCTTGTGACTGCTGGTATGTGGTCTTACTTGTAACAGTCAGTAAACAAATATCATGTTTGAACAAGGCCTTTGCTAACCATCATCATCTCGAAGTTGTTGAGTGAAGCTAGCCGTTTGAGGTCTACCCAGACGCTCATGGACCTGAATCCTTTGGAGGGGTCCCGAATCCTGCGGAGGGGTTTGGGGTCGAATCAATCCCTAGGTTTTGAGAGACCCGTCGGGCGTCGTTTCACGGAGCGTTTGGGTTGAGAGTTGACGATCTAGAATTTCTGATGATGGAAGGGGGGTTCAACAAGGGTCTCGGAGAGCATTGTGGCAACAGCTCACCCAGGGACCCATGTCATTCAAATGCACGATTCGGAAACTGGTGGAAGCCATTTCCCCGAACACACGGTTGTCGTGTTGATTTGTGCCATGTGTCCTATTTGAGTTTAGAACCCCCACTTTCAATACACAAGACATTTGTCGAATGCTTTGGTCCTTTGGCCGGTGAGTCACTGTTTGAGACATCCTGAGGCAAGCAACCTCGAAGGGAGAGTGTCCTCTTTGAATATCACCGACATCCCTGGGTGGCTCTAGTTGAGATGTTGATGTTGATACAAGATGTGGGCGGCACCCGGACCAATCCCGTTTTGCACATGCTGTTGGACAAGCGACGCGGCGGGAGTGTACTTTCGACCGGCGGAGAAGGAGGAAAGTACAACACCAGATCAAGGGTAGCAGCTGGCAGAAGTGATCAACAAACTCCAAAAATCAAAGAAGAGGGTGGTCCATACCACAGACATGAACATTGGATGCTGCGTGTTGTCATAGATGTTTATACCAGTTGCACGTTATACAGTTATACATCATATTATTCTCAGCTGGGTATGGTACATTAGATGCACAGTGACAGCATAGCTCTTTTGTTCCTTCTCCATGTTCATCCTTCTCCACATTTTCCTCGTCCTTGTTTGTTGCGTTCATCGTCCTTGTCACCATCGAGTTCACCGCCTCTTTCTCAAGCTCGACAGGTCTAGGACATCATATAGAAACCCAATCCCATTCCCTCTCAGGCTTCCTACGGAACTATGGGGGTCACTTGCACCGGGACATGGGACGTCCCACTCAAATCCAACAGGTCCAGCTGGCTTCAGTTCGCTTTTCACCTATTGGTTCACTCCGATTTTCACGGTGCCTCCTCTCCGTTGTGCTCTTCCATCGCGTCGCTTTCGGTGCAACTTCTGGGCGACAAAGTCAGAGCTGCGGGACGAGGTCGAAGGAAAAAGAGAGCGATCGCCAGAGTCCAGAGGTTCCGCCAAAAAAAGGTAACATGGGATTGTAAAACCTCTTGAGTTGGCAACTCTTGAGTGGATCAAATGCCAAAACCCCCCACACAACGGCCTGGAACCTACTAGCGATGGCCTCCTTGCTTTCTGTCAAATGCTGTGGTGCCGGCACCGTGAGTGATGGCAGGTGCCTTTGTGCCAGTCCGTGTTCAGGCGTGACGCGTGTGTCATGAGCAGTCCGGGAGAGGTGAAGATCCGGAAAGAGGTGAAAGTGAGTATTCTTGTTTCTAATAGCTTCTTGTTACTACTAGTAAGGCACTTGTTACTAGAAGCGATGCACTTGTTCCTAGTAGCTTCCTTGTTACTAGCAGGGCTGAGGACAGAGAGATATGGGGGTCGTTCAAGAGACACCGACACCGACACCACATCACCACTTCCCTTCCTGGCTGGCTGATCAGGTGGATGTGTGTGGTTTTTTCCAACGCTTCTTCTCTTTGCATCCCCAAAGCTGGAGAAGATCTTCCAGTTTGCCAGATTCCTGGACAGCAAATCCTAGACTTGCTGGGAAGCTTGGTGGTCTTTTTGGGGGTCTTGAAGAGAATGGGACCAACGAAAATAGCTTCCATCAAGAACAAGTACCAATCATAGAAATGAACCATCCCCTGTTTGTAAAGGAAAATTGTATTTCCAGGAGGCCATTGTCCACTTCCATGATTGTTTCAGGGAGGGTAATCATCCTCTTGAAGAGCGAATCTACAACAGTCTCCCACAATTCCCACCTTCGACTCCTAGCCGAGCAGAAGAGACATGGACACATTGATGAGGACCTTGCGAATACCAGCCACTAACACCTTGAAACAATGTACGGCATATAGTGCATCATAATGCTGCATATGTGTATGTCTAAGGCTAGAATGAAAAGGATTGAAAAGGTACGGTGTGAACCATATAAAGTTCTGTCACAACCTCTGAAACCCTCTGAAAACCATGAGGTCACATGATGTTCGCCCACGCTGGAGTGGCCGACGCGGGGCGAAGACAAATCGTTGAGTGGGTGTGGCAGTCTTCTAAAAGCGCCGTGGACGCGTTTGTAACTGGTTCTGGTCTGAGCGGCTTCGACCACGGCTGGAGGTGTTCTTCCGTTCGCCGTCCTGTTCGACGGCCCAAGGGACATGTTCTTTCTAACCCCTAGGGCCTAGGGCTCCAAGTACCTCCTGGACCCTCTAAACCCACCCTAAACACCTTCTCAAAAGGTACGACTGGAGCCCTAGGGAACGCCCAACGGCGCATCCTTCCCGGCCGCGTCGATCGCCTCGCCGACCCGGTGGGGGGTTCGAAGCCTCCGGGTGACCCGGTAGGCGAACGCCGTGGCATGGTGGACGTGGCCGCCTTGAGCCCGTTGTGGCACATCGCGTGCCTCGGTGATACCGCACCGAGTCGGTTTTTTGCAGCGAGGTGCGTGGAGTGAAGAGAACCCGGAACAAGGGTAGCCAACTCCCAGTGTTACAAGAGAGGTATCCAGTGACCTGAACTAGGACTACCCAACTGGGATAGTCTAGTTCGGGTCATTCAACCTTTGTTGGTTTGCCGATGTTTTGCTATATATGGCTGTTCCCTTCGACTCCGAAAGAGATGAGTCGAGGAGACGCGAGACGAGGCCAGCTCAACCGGGCCCCTGTCAGTGGGGTGGCGCGGGACCCGGTAACAACAGGAGATCGAATGGGTGCATCTCGTCTGACATACCCCGGAAAGGTGGATAAAGCTAGTAGCGAGGCCAGGAGCCCCTAGTAGCTTCTTGTTACTAGTAGCGATGCCCTTGTTACTAGTAGCTTCTTGTTACTAGTAGTATGGCCAGGAACCCCGTTCGTAGCGTCCTTTGGAGTGGTGGCACCACACGAAATTCGCCTCTCTTCGGTCGCATCTCTTCGGTTCACCTGTCATCTTCTTACTCGGGGTGTCGACTCCGTCGAGTCAGTGGACCCCCGATCGAGTCAGTCGGTTCCCTTGGCATGGCTGCCCTAAGGATCCGGACCCGAAACAAAACAAGGTTTTGAGGGTACAAGGGTTTTGAGGGCCGGCTGCCCTTGTGAACTAGAGGGTTCGACCCCTTGCCATGGAGGGTCCGGTCGGTTCCCCTCGTGCTGTGACGATGTTTGGGAATCGGGCCTGCGGTGAAAGGCGGGAGACCATGGTGGTCCGTCCCAGGCCAGAGGATGGCGACGTGAGCTGCAAGGAGATGGCGACGTGTTGTGTTGGTGTTCCAGCTGGTCGTGGCGTTCGGTCCCGAGAAAAAAGAATACAAGGTGAGCCCGCGGACCCAAAAGCAAAAAGAAGCGCGCAACCCAGGAAAAATAAACAACATTAGCAGACCAAAACGAAGCATCAGCCCCCTCCAAGCTTCGTGGCAACCATGATATTTCAAGCATCGCGGTTCTGGTGCGCATCCGTCCACCCCCGTCTGCCATATACACCCCCGTCCACCCCTTGGTCAGTTTTGAAAGCCCTCCAAAACGGTCATAAAACGATTGCAACATGGCTTCTAACAACCCTTCCAGGAAGCGTGGAGCAGCATCAGCTCCCTCCATGCTTCGTTCCAACCATGATAATTTGAAGCATTGCGGCAACCATCCTGCCGTTTCTGCAATGACTTGGGCTGTCTTCGGCATACATTGCACACACTCTGGACACCCAAGACCGTCATATAGGCCGCGCACTAGGCCGCGCCAGACAGTTCCACTCGCGCAATAACGTTCTTCCGCGAGGCATGGAGTAGCATTAGCCCCCAGGCTTCGTTCTACTTAGCATCCATCTTCCTTCCACAGCCCCGTCCACGAAAATGCTTGCCTCGTGTCGCTCTGCCCCCCCACTTACGACTAAACTAAACGAACCCAAGCATCGGAGATTCTTTTGGGAAAAGCACACACATGTGTACTGCTGTGCCAGCGCTACAGTGCATCACACGCGGTAAAATGCTTTCAGCTCATTCGTCGTCTAGTGCTTAATTTGTTGGCATAGATTTCCGGTGGCGTGCATCGTTGGCATGATCAGGGCGTCGATATGGCGGAGATATCCCAGGAGAAGAGGATTTCTCGTTTGTTTTTCCCCAAACAGTTTACTGTTGAAATTCTATCTTAGAAAAAAGAGCTAGCCACACTCACTGACCGCGCCCTGAACTCTGTGGCTGGGCTCTGTGTCCAGGCCTTGTCCTCCTCTTCACCTCCCGTCTCGCGCCCCTCCCTTCCTCCCCACCCCCATCCATCCCGTCTCGCGCCGCGCTCCCCTCCTTCTTCCCCCCACAGCTCCATCCACACCCATGCACCTCCCGTCTCGCTCCCCTCACGCGCCTCCCGTCTCGCATCCCTTTCCTTCCATCCACAGCTCCGTCCACGACCGCGCACCTCCCGTATTGCGCCCCTCCCTGTTCCATCCACAGCCCCATCCACATCCATTTTCCGTCCACGACAACGCTTGCTTTGTCTCGGTCTTCCGCGGCGCTGGCGACTAAACGAGAACCCAAGCATCGGAGATGCTTTTGGAAAATGGCCACAATCTATGCGTGGTAGAGCGGGTGTGTGTTCAATCAAGCCGTGTGATGGGAGAGAGAGGATCTCCGGGATCTCCCCCAGATCTGTTCGGCCCGGAAGGCCTCTCCTCCCAACAGAGGTTAAGTGACCTTATAGACCTGAACTAGGGCCCCACTGGGCTAACTATGGGCTAAGTCTATAGGGTTCTTCAACCTCTGTTGGTTTCCATCTAACACGATCTCAGCAATTTGGGCCCGGATTCGTGGCACCGTTGATTTGCGGTGGTTTCAGAATGAACGGCACAAACCCAAAGGATTAATTGAAATGGGGACCTTGAGAAAAGCCAAACTTGGGGCATTGTGCCATCGAACCTCTAAAACCGTCCTTTACCAAGGAACCATTCTTACACTACAAAGTCGGCTCAACCGTTTCAACTACGTACTCGAACATGAGAAGTCTCCCTGATAACACAGGTCTCTCACGAGTTTGGTCGAATCGGTGGGGTTTGGCGCCTGCCTCACCAGGACTCCAAACGAAGTTCATCATTTTCCAACAGCCCAAGAATTGGGCGGTCTGCGTCCCGGAGTCTGACACCTTCCAGATGGAAAGCGGACGGAAATCACCTGCACCATCCTTCCATGCAAATTCGTCGTTGCAACAAAATCCGGCGATGGAGCTCGTTCCCAACTCCGAGCTCCCTTCCCCCAGAAGCTCGACATCTCCTCTCCCCGTGAAGCTTCCGAAGCTATGAGTTTCCGGTCCATGTCTGGCAGCCCAAAGACGTCCTTTTCGGGGGAAAACGTTCCGCGGAAACGGCGGAGATCGCGCCGCGGCCCCGGTCGGACGCTCGCGCCGCGGCCCGATCTCCGACCGTCGGAAGAGGAGAGCTGTTGCGCCTGCTTGTCGCGGCTCATCTCAGTGCTCGGTGCCCTCCTCGTGGTCTTCCTGGCTCTCTTCGGTATGGCCTGCGTGGTCATCGCCACTACGCCGAGAAGGTCGTTCATTCGAGAGGAAAGGTGCAGGAAGGATAGGATAGCTTAGGGGAAGCCAGCTGTTTGATGGTAAGGATGGTAAGGATGTGCATGTTTCCGTGCGTGTGATTCCTGGTTCAATTTGGGAACCGACCGGAAAAGAGTACGGATCGGCCTCTTCTCACTGCCAACCGTGTATTTTTTCAGAACCCCAATGACAGTTCGACAACCCCACCGTGTTCCAGGGCCCGTTCAGTCGGGTCACTTCACCTCTCCCTACGAGCTCAGGACGGGGTGGTGCGTGTGCAGAAGGACCTGCCCCTCTACGAGCTTGGAGCGCACACCATCGTGCAGCGTGCGAAGGCTGGGCCGTTCGTTCCCGCCCGCGCGCTCCGCGGGCGCGGCATGTCTTGGGGCTTCGTGGGGGTCACAGGTCTTGTGGCAAGAAAATAGTTTCATGACTGGTTTGACCCACACTTGTGGGCCCAACCAACTCAAGATCTATCAGTCAAGGCGCCCCCCCGGCTTTTAGGCTCTGCATTTGTGGCAAAGTCACGGGGTTTTTCATGGCCATTCTCCGGTCCGTGGCATCGAGGCCTTTGTGAAGAGTTTGTCCTTGACCTTCCCGGCCACCCGGCGAGGTGAAGCCGCACGGACGAGGGCGTGAGACATTGAGAGTTGCAAGGGGTCTTCATCGGTCATAGCACCAGCACCTGACTCTACCAGCACCGACTTCACAGGTCACCAATTGAGACCTGTGACAGGGCCCTTCCCAACCCTCCACCATCGGAGACCTGTTGGGTTCAGTGCTAGTACAGGTCTCCAAAATAGAAGGTTGGGAAGCCCTGCCAGGGCCGTCTCGACCAGATGTCGCCTTTTGTCACCTGCCCTGACCGCCCTTTTGCGCGCGACGACCTTTCGTTGGGTGAGTTGTCCACTGTCCAAATGCCAAGCCTGAAGAGATGTTGCAATCCATCTCTGGAATCGTCTACATGATTTTGCCAGCCAAAAATAATGGAGCGCGTCCGGTCACCCACTCCTGGAAGACCGGCTTGTTTCGGGCTTTGAAGTTCAGCATCACGTCAGCCTGCTGATGTTTTTGACTTGTTTGCAGAGACAACTGTTGATGAGTTGGTGATGCAAAAGATGCAGGTCAATGTTGGTGTCGCATCACTTGCATCATCAAGGTCATTTGTGGCCCTAGACGAATAGCCCTAGGAATCTGGGCACACCAAAGGAAAGGAACTTGCTGACTTGTGCCTCTCCGGAGCTGCAACAACTCCTGGTAGACCAAAGGGAAGGCCAAGATCTGCGGCCACTTCAGCAGAGGCCATGTATCACACACAGCTGGGTGCGGTTTTGGGCTTCTAGTTCGGAGATGCTGAAAAACGATTCGGTGTTCGCGATGTTTGCAGGTGGGCCTGGCCAAGTGGTTTTCCGTGTATGTGGGATGGGGTCTTTGAAGCAGAGAATGCTTCGTTTACTCAACGGGGTGCTTTGTAAACGATGGATTCTCCACTTCCGAGTGGTTCCTCTGACCACCCATTAGAAGGACGTAGCCGTCCCAACCCAATTTTCCAAACATCAAGGACAGAGCCTTGGTTTCATGGCCACGGCTTGCATTTTCACGGTTTTCATAGCCACGCTCGATTCTCACGGTCTTCACTGCTTTGGTCTTGAAGAGTGTCTTATCAGCTCGTGTTTTTGGGTTTTGCTCGATCCATTAGTTCTTCCTCCCATCTAGGGATGCTGGGGTAAGAACACTTCATGTAAATGCCGCTGTCAAACCAAGGCAAATGAGACTTGTTTTACCAGTCAGGAACTAACACTTACTGTGGAAACTGACATTAACAAGTAGATTTGCCTGCCCGGAACATTTACCAAGTGTGAACTGTGGGAACTGCCGGAACTAGCATTTACCAAATAGGAACTGACATGTTTACCAGCCGGGAACTCACATTTACCTATATAAGTGGGATCTAGAGTTTACCCAGCGAAACTCACATCTACCAAGTGGGAACTGCAAAGGAACCAGCCCGGAACTCACATTTACCAGCCCGTGGCACCTGTTTTGAACTCCTGAAGGCTGGAAAGAACTCGCGTCCCGGTGGACAGCGCGCGACTTCGACTGCAGAATGCCTCCCTCCTTCCAGGCCTTTGGCCAAGTGATCCCTTGTTAGAGTTGACGATGCGTCCCTCCTGGTCTTTGGCTTTCGTTTCCCCCTTATTGGTCTTTCTCTTCTTCCGTGATGTGTAGTTTCCATGTGATCTTTTGAGGTCTTGGTGATTTTTCCATGTTGGTTTCTTCGTGGTAGTCTGAGCGGCGGCTTTGTCAGGCTTCTTTCGGTGCTTCTGATGTGCGGCTTCTATGGTTCCTTTGGTCTTGGCCGTGGCTTCTTTTAATTCCGCGCCCCTCCAGGACGGAATCCGAGGCAACAAGGAAGGAGCCCTTTCCAAGGTAGCATACCTTGCCCGACGTCCAGGAAAATAAGTTCGAGGAGGAAGGAGCCATTCCAAGGTAGCATACGTAAGATTTAGAGAAGGAAGGAGCCTTGTCAACTTAAAGCTGTGCTTGTGATTGTGTGACCCCCTCGAGTATAGAAATTCGAAAACGGCAATTACAATGAAAAGGCAGGATGCTTTCCAACAAAGGTTGAATGACCCGAACTAGACTATACCAGTTCGGTACCCCAGTGGTGTCCCTCTTGGTTCTTCTTTTCGGTCACAGTCGGTGCGCTCCCCCCTCTCGCACCACAAAACCTGTCCGATGTCCTGCCTGCCACGAAATGAAACTTTTCAGAGCGACACCCTTACCCCAGCTTCTACCATAGCTGAGTGGATCCAAAAAGAGAGGCCTTGCGGATGCTTTTTTGTGTTTCAATGTGCTCCTCATCATGTGTTCGAAAATGATCCCAAACGGACTGAACTCGATGTGCTCCAAAATCCTCATGGTGCGTTCCAAAACGATCCTCCTCCCACACTTTGCGTGGATCTGGGGTGGCTTCAGTCTTTGAACAGCGTCGCTCCGGGCCGCACCGGCCCCCTTTTCGGCTCCCAGCGCACGCGCGCGCGCGCCGTGCGCCGCCCATGGCGCCGGGGATGGCGGCGGGAAGGCCCGGCATGGTGCCTCCTGCCTCGTGGGTGCCAAGCTGCAAGTTCTGGCCGGTGAAGGAGCGCGAGCCTCGAAGGTTGATGTGGCAGTTGATGTGTGTCGTGTTTTTTGGGAAGCAACCGCAACCAGGGTGTGGTACGTTTGTGTTTTTTTAACGCAGGTATATAGATGATTCATACCCCCTAGAAGTCCACAAGCAAGAACGCAAGAATTGAACCAACAAAGTCACCGAAGTAGAGGAAATGTCAAAAATCGGGTCATTTAAGGTCACCAGCTTCTTTTTTGTATCGATCTATTATCTTTATATCTATCAGTGTGCGGTTGAAGAGGTTTTCAAGACCCCTTGAGAGAGTGAAGCGGCATCATCAGCGCCACCCGGCGGTGAGTATCATATGGAATGTGGGGGGGGCAAGGCGAGTTCAAACCTGGCGCACCATGTGTTGTTTTTTTCTGGTTTCCACTCCAACTCCGAAGGGTGATTTGTAGCCTTTGTAACAAGACCCCGTTGGATGTTTGTGGAGGGCAGAGCCCGCACGTGGGCTAAGGGCGACCTTTGGATCGACGAGCTTGGGCTTCACCCCAGGAGAGTGCAGTGGGCCAGGGTCATGGGTGGTGAATCCAAGGAAGGGTGTCCAAGACCGCATTCAACAGACCCACAACAAAGGGGTAGAATCACCCAGACGCGACCTGTCTGGGACTGCCATAGGACTGCCGCCCCATTGACCCCCCCTGGCACCACCCCTGGCCGGAACTCTCGGCAATCCGCAGTCCATGGGGTCGTCATGGTTCACGACGTGAATGGCCCCGATCGCGGACGCCGTGTTGAGACCAAGGTGCTGGGCCGAGTCGGAGTGCTCGGCCAGGGAGCCACACCATCTCTGACCATCCACGTCGATTTTTGCGTTCAGAAGTTGAAGGAACCCAAGACCATCCATGGAACTGAGTGGCATGCCCATGCCCGGAACTTCAGGCTTCTGCAAAGGGGGCCGACTCCGAATGTCGACGCGTGCCCCACCTCCATAGTGCTCACAGCAAGCACGGGGACTGCATTGGGTGGTTGGTTCCAAGAAAATACCGAAACAGATGTCCTTGTGGAATGCTTGGGTGTGATTATTGCACCCCTTTGAGGGTTTGGCGTTTTGGTCTCGAAGCCAAACTTGCTGAACAAGAAGTTGATACTTCGATGATTACAACAGCCCTCTCAAGATGCTCACGGCCAGGATTTTGCTGCATGTCACCCCAAAAGATGTGTTTTCTTCAGGTGACCCAAAAGAGACACTTCTTTGGATCTCGCCCCACATCGCCGTCGAACGGGACGGAACTTGTTGTGCACCACTCGTCATCGCTTTATCGATCTGCCGCCTCTTCTGCGAATTCGTGCAGAGAACTTGCCCGGCAGGAGCCAAGGATGGCAGAAGGTCACCCGGCTGATGATCCGCAACCTCCCTGGGCGTTGCGAAGAGCGCGAGCTCTTCGAGCTCATTCACAAGGCCCGAGCCGGACATGAGTGGGTGTTCCACGAAACGTCTGGTCTTGGGACGGGTCTCCCAGTAGTTTGGGGTCGTTTTTTCCTGCAAAACCCGATGGGCTCCCCCCCCACTCAAATCCCAGAGACAGCTGCTGAAACCTCCCGTTCACCGCGTGTCTCGATCGCCGCGTTTAGCAGCTTCACAGCGACGGACACGCCTCGATGTGTCGGTCCGGACGGACACGCGGACCGCGGACACGGCGCTGATGGGCTGAGTGGTCAGGAGATGGTGTAAGTCCAGCACCAGGGAGAGAGCTGGTGGCGCGTGGAACGAAAAAGAAGAAACACCAGCCCGTTCGACTTCCGGTCGACCCTCAAAAAGAACGTGGTCACGGACTCGGGGTGTTTGTAGCTGTAAAATCCTGAGCTGGTGCGGGATGAATTCGCCTATGAATTTCATGGTGGGCCAGGAAGTCTAGGGCCAGTCTCAGGTTCTTTTTTTCGCACCTTCCCTTCACTGGCACAGACCAAAACCCGAAGGTGACGCCCGTGTTCCAGCTGGATATGCCACACCACCCCAATGGTGGCAAGTGCAAGGGCTACGCCTTTGTCAGTGACTTGAAACTGTATTGGCTCATTTTGGGGGGGACGCGCATCTCACAAATCACTGTTTAACGGGCAGGCAAGCTTAACCCCTCGCGAGATGTAGATCCCCCTGCACATGTTTCATAGAATCTGTAAATAGAGCGCGTGCTCTGGTGAACGGTGCCCTGGTGCCCTGGTGCCATGCCGGTCATGTGGTCATGTGGTGGTTGCTGCGTGGGCGGTTGCTGCGTGTGGGAAACAGTTCGGGAGTTTATATCATGTTCCATAGTCGGAAGATATCTATACATGACGTGTAAAATCTGACGTGCTCACCAGTGAACTGTTGGTGAACTGTTTAATGTTTAGTTTTGTAGTCCTATATGTTAATCTTGATCTTCCAGACCAGAAAAGCTGGGAGAGTCAGTAGTGGAGAATGACTCCCGTGTGTGACCTTGTGCAACGCATGCTGTGTGGTTCTGTAAATGACGAGCAGCCCAAAGCCCTTTTTACTTCCCCTGTAGAGAATCCTTGGGCTCTCCATGGCAGGGGTCGGACCCGACACCTTCGCAGGGGTCCGGACCTGAACCAAACCCTATGTGTTGCTGAAGGGGCCCGGATTCTTAGGGTTAGAAAAAGGGCCATCGCTACGACCACCGTGGAAACATGGAATGTCACAAAGGGACGACGCTGCCGACGAATAGTGGAGTTGACCCGATTCCGACTGGGTAGAGTTCGTTTCCGTCATCTTGGGTATGGACGATAACAGGACGAAACCAGACCATGGAACGGTGGTGCGCTTGAACTGAATGATGTGCGCTTGCTTCTCATGTTGTTTCTTTAAATGGAAATTCAGGACTCAGCTCGCTGGGCAGTTTGGTGCTGATTTAGATTTCTTTGCCATGCATTGGATCTTGCCAGATTGTTTGACTCCTTTCGTGATCTCACATATCCTACAGTTTACATGGGCATGGCAATTGATTTCAGGCCAACTCTGTCAGACTCATTGGTTCAATGTGTGGGATGTTTGCTGCCACCTGACTGAGGTGTCAGAAACAGCGACACGATGCAACTTCTCGTTGAAGCCTTCTGGGGCTTTGTGATGCAAACGCGCGGCAGCGGGAAGCCCTTCAAGATCCAACCTGCCAAGTGTCAGCCGGCGGAAGGGGCACCACTCCTCAACTCGCTCGGGCTTGCGGAGGAGACCGGCTACGATTCGGGCGGATCGAGACTGGGTTCGGCTCCACAATGAGAGACAAGTTGTGTTGGAAGCGATCCATCCCAACCAGAAAGAAGTTTGGATGTGTTCCCAGCCCCAGGCACTTCCGTGAAGGAACTCTACACTTATGATGTACATTAAAGCTAGTTCTGATGACACAACCCAAAAAAAAAAGGCATAAACAAGGCAAGAAAAATGCAAAACCAATGCTGCAAAAAATGTACAGAAAACACAAAAACACGTCACGAAGGGAAGCGCTGGAATGCAAAAAAATCAATCAAAATGCGGAAAAAATAACGCGTTTGTCCACTAAAACGATGCAAAAAAAAGGTCACAAAAAATGCAACAAAAAAAAGCAAAACAAATATGATCAAAAACGTTCTGGTCTTTGCCTTTGCATGTTTGTGTTGTTTATTTGCGATTGTTTTACGTGTGTTTTGCATGGTTGTGTGTTTCCTTGGGAAAACGCAAAAAATATCGAAAATATTCGCAAACAACAAAGAAAAACAGTTTTAAAAAAACGCACATAAAACACAAACTAAAAAAAAAACACAAAAAAGGTGGTGTGTGAAATTTGGTTGTTTTGCTTTGGGATGTTTAAACGGTTGTTTTGCGTTTTGTTTGCTTTTTTGGGGCTTCCTTTTGCAAAGTTTGTGCTTCTTTATATGCACTCTTTTTGACCAGCTGCCTTTTTCATGCCTTGTTTTTTGGCATTTCCTGGTCATCATTTCTGAGTGTGGGGTTGCATTTATTGTGTTCTTTTTCATGAATCCTCGAGATTTCAGAGATACTAGTAGGCTGTAAGGCACATCATAACTCTACGCATTTCGTTTCTGATTGTTTGGGTTGGAAGTGCTTCGGTGCTTCGAGCTGGGAGGCCCGTGAGGTGTAGCAGTTCCGATTGAACGAACTGGAAATGTGTGGCTTGAGAGCCCAACATACGTTGCTTGCCAACCTTTGGCTGCAGAACCCCGTGAAGGGGCCCCCAGTGGGGCCCCCTGGATCGATTTATGAGATGGCAAGTTGTATGCTAAGAAGGTATGGTCCAACCAGCAGGGCCCTTTGACTTGTTGAGGAGGGAAATTGACATTGCTAGCCCACATGGGACAGTGGAGCATCTCTTCCAGATGATGCGTTTCTGTGGAAGGCCTTGCAGGTGAAAATCCATTTTGGGGTGCTCAACCATGTGTTGAAATTCCTGTCACCCGGGAGCACCGGGTCCGTAATACCCTACTGAATGACTGTAGAAAAGGTAGCGTACCGGACATACAGGGCTAACTTGAGCTGATCCTGTAAGATACACAAGATACACCATGCAAAGGTTGTTCAAATCCTGCGCTGCAAATCCTGGGGGCACTGCAGCCCAAGCTCATAATTTGGCCTTCGACTGTAGCTGCGACATTCGGCGGTCGAAACCAGTGTAAAGAAGGGAACCATCCGAAACTCGTTCATCGAAGGCACCGAACTCTTGGTGGTTGCTTTTTTCCTGGTGGATCTTGAGGCCAACATCTCAGCCCGAAACGAACGCTCATAAATATCCGAACGAAAACACCCATGCTGATATGCTGGGAACCCGCCGGATTCTGTGAACATGCAGCAATGACCTGCATCGCCCTGCGACGTTCTGCGATGGCTCCGGCGCACTGCGAACACCGCGAAGCGGCGGCTTCTGAAAAGAGGTGCTTTGCACTGGACGTAAGGACCGAAGTCCAAGACTCTCCATTCGGGAGATCCTGAAATTTGTGGGATGGCAAGGGACGTCCGCACGGTCGAGCATGAAAAGAGTACTTGGTGGCAAAAGGAATGCGTGTGAGAGAATGGTCCAGTCTATATGTTAGAATCAAACACATCCGGTGCATGACCCAGTTCAATTTGATCATTATAGACTAATAGACTTGTACCCATACACCTGCGAGGAACCAGTTCCAGAAGGTTTTCACGTTTTTTCAGATTGACCCGTTGGGGCACACTGGACACCGGGCGTCTTCTTGGCCTTCGTTGACCACGTGTTCCCACTATTTGAAGGGGTGAAGGTCAGGCTGAAAGAGAGCACGGTGAACGAGTGCGGAAAAAAACCGAGAGAGCGAGCGCGAGAGAGAGAGAGAGAGAGGTTCAAAAATGACAGTTTTAAAAGGCGGGGCGTGGAATTTCATGCTGTTGAGGGGCGCAGGCGCCTACAAAGCTGGGGATGAAGAAAGACAGGCAAGATCCCGTCTTTTTGGAGTGATGTTGTTCTGTGTGGCCGGCCCACCCAACTGCCCCATGTGTTTTCTTTCCCCAGTGTGATAGGCCCTCAGAATCCAGGGAACTGGTTCGGGTCTGGACCCGAACTGGAAGGTCCCCCCTGAGAACTAGAGGGTGCGGAGTCGGGACCCCAAAACCAAGCTCGATCTGTCCGGATCTGGACGTTCGAATGGGTCTCATCGTTCGAATGATCCTCCCCAAGACGACGGCGCCGGAGATCGAAAACGAAGAACGCCCTCAACTGGGACCAGTGCGGTGTGCCAGTTGCATCTGGAGCGATGTTCCGGGCATGTTTTGGTGTGGATCCCGGTGGTTGGTCGAAAAGGGTCGGTGCACCAAAAGCGTCCTTCCCGGGGTCAGTGGAATGGAAGCAAGACGAGGAAGCCTTCTTGACCATGGTTTCGGAGAAGCTTCTGGACGAGGCGAAGCTGATGCTTTCCACTGCTTTGGGCGGTTTGCTGGAATATTTGAGCAACGCCACGTGGTTGGCAGTGAGGTGCGTGCGGTTGGGTTTTCTTGTTTCCAAGGGGTCTTTTTCGCGTGTCTCAGTAAGTCACACCAGGTCTCAGTAAGGGGTCGGCTCCCTTCTGCCTTTTTGGCCACCTCCCTTCCCCAGCTTAGCGGAGAACGACGGTTTTGGGGTCACTGTGGTGTTTGTTGGGCTGGTAGGTGAACAGGACGCTCCTATGAGGCACTAGGAACCCTAGTAGCGTGGCATCTCCGGGCCAAGTCCCAGTTCCGCAGCCGACCGTCGACCCATTCTACACGCCCGGTCGACCGGACAGCCCAGGTGATCTTTGAGTTGCTCATGCTGGGTTTGTATGTGGCAAGCCCAGAGCTCTTGTTGGGGTTCCCTTTGTTGGCAGCGGGGTGGAGGTTTTTCCGAGAGGTTTCTGCATGAAGACACACACGCTCCGCGTGTCTTCTGCTTCTGTTTTGTGGCGGAGAAGTGGGCAATCCCCGAAGAGAGCGGTGGAAGAGACCTCGAAATCTGGAACGCCCCTTATAGGAACAAGAAGCTACTAGGGGCTCCTGGCATTGCTGCTAGGAGCATTCTTGCTACTAGGAACAAGAAGCCCTTTAAAACTCATCCTGTTCTTCAGTTCTTTTCAGAGTCGACTTGGCATCAACACCCTGGCGGCACCTTTGGGCGCTGGTGGCGGACCTGTGCGGCGCTTCGTCCCGAAACCAATCCCTGTAGGTCCGAACCAGTCTCCTCCTAAACACCTCAGTAAGAATAGTGCTTTGCACCACCAACTCCAGTCAATGGAGGTTTTGACCTCGTAAGACGAGGATCGAGCCAGAACGCCACGACGGTTTGGTTTCCCTGCCGATTCCTTCGAGCAGGGCGCCACGGCGAACCAAAACCACCGAGCGATGAACGTTCTCAGAGTCCACCAAAACCCAGACACGACCCGTTTGGGGAGCTGCCATAGGACTGCCGAGAAAAGGCCAGGGTGGTGTGTTAGGGGTCAATGGGGCGGCATATACGACATACATCGGGTTGTTTGGGAAGCGTTCTTGATCAACGGGGGAGTCGGCAACGTCTTGTGACACTGAAAAGTTGTTGAATGTTGTGCTTCGAGTACTGGAAATGCCCACGTTCAATATGTCATTGGTGTTGATAAATGTGATGACACACACGACACACGTTCTTCCTTGGTTTTGCCGAGTTCGGCGACGTGAAAAAGTTTCCAGCTTAGCAAGGTGCTCTTCTGGCTGTGCACACCAATGCCCATTGCCAGCACCACCGCTGCTCGGACGTCGGAACTGGGGTGCAAGAGGCGGAACCTGGATGTGGGTCAAACATGTTACCTGGCTTCTTGGGCTGGGTCGATCCCTGGTTCGATTGCCTGCTGGTTGGATGAAAAAGATGAGAACCCTTGGGTTGGTGGTAGAGAAAGATGGGTTGAATTGGTTGTTTCGAGACCCGCTGTCAAAAAATATCAGCCCGGCAACTTGGTAGGTAGAAACGCTTGCTATGACCAAAGACCGGCTATTGGAAGAACCAGATGAAAGACATACCACACTGACTCATTGCAAGGGCCATACCACAAAACTATAGGTTGGAGGCCATCGCTACTAGGGTGGAGGCCATTACTATAGTAGCAAGACGCTAACCAAACTCCGAACTTCTGAGTCCCCGCACCACGAATCCCACCGACCACCTCGCTAAAATCGACGCCAGTCGTTCAGGAGACCATCTTCCGGCGGTACCTTTTCCTGAAGGGTACTGCCTGCCGTTTGGCTCCCAACAGAAACACCGAACCCCGCCATGCGTCGGTTTTTTGCCGTTGTGCCGGACGCGCAACGCGCGCAACGCGCGCGGGTGGGCTGTCACAGTTCGGATGTTGTTTCCCTGTGTTGGTCCAACGAGTGGAGTGCCAAACGAAGAAGGATTTTTCAGCATGGCAGGTTTTTGCCGGACTGGTGGGGCCGATTGACTCTGGAGGAAGCAATTGTATACAAGTACTTGCCGACCCCCCACGTCCGGCATCCATCAACATCCACCCCAAACTGGTTGAGCATATGCTTGGCGACTGTGACGGGCGCTCAGTCTGATCAGGGATGTGTCACCCAGTGGTGCAACCTGGTCCATTGAGAGGTTTTTCCGTGTCGGTCGTGGGTTTTGGCACTTTCGGGACGACGTGTTGCAAGAGTTTCAGATGCTACGTGGCCGAGAAATATGACCTTTCTGCCATCAAGTTCAATCCTTCAGGCACTCAAGCTGACCATAGAAAAAACCTGGAAATCCAGTCCCAAATAGAAGCGAATGGAGGCTTCCCGTTTTCCCAACCGGATCGGGCCAGAACGCCATAGTGGAACAGCCAGCGCTGTTTCTGGTTGGGAGCTGGGTTTTCAGGAAGTTCTTGGTGATTGCTTCGTTGTCAGGTCGTTGAAGCGATGTCGCAGCTTCCGAATGGCGCCTCCAAGGAGAAGGTACAGCACTCTAAGATCCTACGGCCGGTTGATACTGAAGTGTGAAAAGCTCTCGGAATACCAATGTTTGTGAGCAAACGAACACATCGAGCATCAGTCCAACGTCCCTCAAGTGCCATTGGGCTTCTTGTTGAAAGGCCACCGATACCGATGTACCCCTGAAAATGGTGGAGGCCGCCATCGCTAGTAGGTTGGAGCTTCCAGAGTGAGTTCGACTGGCGATCCGATCCAATGGGGTGGGGAAACGAAGCTGCTTCCAACCCCAGGTCTCGGGTATGGAGATGCTTGGCGAAATTTCATGGGGGAAGGCAACAGCAACATCAGTTCCATTGTTCGGCAGCCGGCCCCATGGGGCGGCTTTTTAGGATTCAACAATGAGAAGATGGAGTGTTGAGTGTTTTTTTCAGGTGTTCTTGTTTAGTGTGACTACCAATCTTGCCAGGAAAAGTACGTACAAACCCACACAGGCTGGCGTGTGAACAAGGAGATGTTTGAGACTCGAGGCGTTTGTGTGGGTGTGTGGGTGTGCTGCACATGCAAGTAGACAGTTGATATACACTCGGAATCATGGAAGTGGATGGCATGGCCCCTTTCGATGACTGCGCTTTCCAAGGGGAGCTAGATGCTGATGAAGCCAGAAAAGCCACAAAGAAGCTGCGCGGAATGCGCGAATTCGAGCCGCTTTCGACTTTGGTGACCAGGTTTGTGTGGGCTTGGTCTTCTATCTCTTGAAGCTCCAACTACCAGTGGTTTTTGGCACCTCAGCCGGCGAGTCGCGGTTCACGCGACCGAGCCAAAAGCAGCGCCTTCCCAGTGACCGAACGGAGGGACTCCTCCCTATTCTGTGACCGAACTTTACTGGCCTTTTTGTGACCAAACCAACCAGGGGATCAAGTTCCGTCACTGGCAAGATTCAAGCGAATGATCCAAAGACAGATATGTGATACTGAGGGCTGGTCTGCATTGGTCTACGGTGTTGTCCATCAAGAGATTTGTTTGAGAATATACTGCACTCAGATGACTTGACAAGCCAGGAGCTCTTTCGTTGAAAATCTGAAGGCAGAAAAGTCTCTGGGCTGCCTACCCAGTGAAGAACCTGCAAAGCCTTCTACCGCGGAATCGTCTTCTTGGGCACCGCGCCCCACACTTTCCTGCGTGGGGACCATCATTCGATCGAAACGGCTCGAGAGACTGGCGGATGTTTCGGTCCACGGTCCAGGCCTCACCTCCTTCGTGTTGAGCTTCATCCCGGAGGCCGGGCACACGAGACTCGGCTCTCCACTCCGCTTCGTCCCCGGAGGACCGGCGAAAGGTGTGGCGAAAAGGAGCGGGTTCGGAGGGCTGGAGGCGGTGCCCCGGTCGATGACATCGATGATCAAAAGAAAAAGAAACATAGACCTGAAGCGTAAGGGGTCACCTGGCTGAAAGCTCCAGCCCACTTGGACCTCCACACACCGAAGGTCCAGGTCTTCCCACATGGGAACCGCTGGTGTGACGACTCGGTTTGATTCGGTCTGACGGAGCGTGCTCCGCCCGACCTGTCTCTCAATACGGTGCCCGACACGTCTCGCAAAAACTGGTTCTTCAGCGATGGGCTCCAGGTCATACCGAGGTTCTTCTCGTTCCATTCGCGGCGATGGGCTAGCACTCCTATATAGCGATGGGCCTCCAGGATTCGTCTCGTTCCGGTCGTTTCGGTTCGAAATCCTCAGGTGGGTGCCTTTCGAACCGGTACAGAGAGCGGCCGGTGATCCTTTGGCCGTTCCCCAACCTACGTTCGCGATGTTTCTTTGAAATCGCTTTGTTCAGGTGGGTGCCTTTCTGGCCATGTTGCTCTCGGTGCCGGTGATCCTGTGCGGCAGCCTAGACCGAGCGCGGTACCGAAGAGACGCCCCCAAGGCACGGTTCACTGGTCGCAGGCTTAAGAGGCTAGCTAGGAGGCTTGTAGTATGGAGGATGGCTTTTTCAGGGATCCTTCTTTTCAAGGTAGCACCGCCCGTTACTTCATCGCTCGAAGTGACGGCCTTATGAGTTCTTGCCATCGCAAGTTGAAGTAGGAGCATAGAAGTGGAAAGATCTCGTCGACTGCTAAGGGTGTTTAACACGGTTCACAGTCGACAAAGCAGAGAACCGCTCGGTCCTGTTCGTTCGCCACTGCAAACCAACGAATTGTCTCACGCCGATTCTCACCGGAACGATCGTCGTGGAGGTCTGTCTAGAACTGGCCTGGACACTGGATTGGGCGGATCAAGCTTGTGAACCCATTCATGTACCCGTTCGCTTCTAAGGAAGGGGCTACAACCCATTCAGTAGAAACAATAAGCTACTAGGAACAAGTGCATCGCTTCTAGTAACAAGTGCCTTACTATAGTAGTAACAAGAAGCGAACGTAGAAACAACCCATTCAGTGGCAGGTTGGTGTGTCCACTCTTCAAATCCCACCGTCGCGAACTCTGAGGTTCGATAGTCGCCACGAGGCGGCCTTGGTCACGTCGCTTGGGGCGCCGATGGGGGGGGGGGTGCCCACCGGTGGTGCCATCACTCTCGGATGCCCGAGAGTGAAGGATAGAAGGGACACTGTAAAGTACCTAGAACCTGAGTGAAATCTATGTTGTATTACTAACCACCCAAAAGATGATCTGTCAAAGCTGGGTCAAACTGGACTTTGGGTATATTAATATTAAGAGATGGAGTCCAGCCAACCGCTGAGGGTGGCCAAAATGATTTTTTTAGTGATTTCGGAGTAGGAGTTGGAGCAAACGAAAAGCAATCTCAGAGTGCAGGATAGGGGACAAGTCAAAACAAGGTGAGCCCGCGGACCCAAAAGCAAAAAGAAGCGCACAACCCAGGAAAAATAAACAAACACAAATTAGCAGGCCAAAACGAAGCATCAGCCCCCTCCAGGCTTCGTGGCAACTATGATATTTCAAGCATCGCGGTTCTGGTGCAACACAGCTCAACTCACCTCCCAACGGGCTTCCGCGAAGCATGGAGCAGCACTACCGGAGCAGCCTGCAATGATGCTGGTGGTGCAACCATGTGCTCGACGCAACAATCCTGTCGTTTCAGCCACGACTTGACCGTCTGTCGCGTGCATTGCGCACTTTTTGGACACCCAAGACCATCGTATAAGCCCCGCAGCTCCACTCACCTCCCAACGTGCTTCCGCGAAGCATGGAGCAGCACTACCCCCACCCATGCTTCGTTCTAATTGTGCACTGACCCGGAGCAGCCTGCAATGATGCTTGTGGTGCAACCATGTCCTCGTAACTAGCATATCAGCCGCGCAAGCGTCCACACCCATGCACCCCCCAGCCCCGTCCACACCCAAGCCACGCCGTCTCCCCTCCATCTTCCCTCCCCAGCCCCGTCCACACCCATGTGCGCCTCCCACTCCCTTCCTTCTTCCCTCCCCACGCGCCTCCCGTCTCGCTCCCCTCCATCTTCATGCGCCCCCCGTCTCGCTCCCCTCCATCTCCCCTCCACCCATGCGCCTCCATCTTCCATCCCCAGCCCCGTCGCCTCCCGTCTCGCTCCCCTCCATCTTCCCTCCCCAGCCCCTGGCTACTTCTAGGGCTCCGTCCGACTCTGCGCCGCACGGTCTCCGACGGATCCCCAGTTTGGGCCACGTGTGGCGTTGGGCGCGTGGCAGTTCCGTCTTTCGTCGGGTTGGCTTTTGGATGTATCATACACCTGGAACCTGAGTGACCCCTGTTTTGGAGGGTCAACTATCCCAAATATGGCCTTTTCCTGTCAAAAAGGGGTCAAACGGATTCTAGGTGTATGTATATATATATATAATATTTATCAACTGGTTGTTTTCAATCTGCAGCTAGTCTCCAATAACATTGCAACATGGCTTCTGACAACCGTTCCAGGAAGCCTGGAGCAGTATCGGCCCCCTCCAAGGTTCGTTCCAACCGTACAATTTCCCACGTTGCGCTTGTGGCGCATAACGCTCCTCCCGTGTCGGCCATGCCTTGATTGTCTGGCGCATGTACTGTGCACATTTTGGACACCCAACCCCATCGTATCAGCCCCGCAGCACAGCTCCACTCACCACCCAACACACGTCCGCGAAGCATGGACCAGCACTACCCCCACCCATGCTTTGTTCTACTTGTGCACTGACCCGGAGCGGCCTACCATGATGCTTGTGATGCGACCATGTGCTCAACGCAACATTGCCTGTCGCAGGCCTCTCCCTTCCTTCCCCTCCCTTCCTTCCCCTCCCTCTTCCTTCCCTTCCCTCTTCCCTTCCCAACCCCGTCCACCTCCACCTCCATCTTCCGTCCCCGACAACGTAAGCTTTTCCTCGCTCTCCCCCGGCACTAGCGACTAAACGAGAACCCAAGCATCGGAGATGCTTTTGGGAAAAACAGTGAGCGGAAAGGCGAGCAGAAAGTATTGGTCGAGTCCGAGAGTATCAAATCTCAAGTATGATCAATGAAATATGTAACCCCAGCCCCAGCAAACCCCCCCCTCCTTTGCCACAAAAAACCCTCCATCCATCCGTGTCCCATCATGCATGGGTTAATCATCTAATCTCTGCTATGTCCCATGCTCTGAGGTTTTTGAGTGCCCTGGCAGCGCAGCTGGGCCTCAAGTTCTTCTTCACCAACATCGTGGAAGTGAAGACGCTCCGCTGATTTGAGGGGGTGTTTTGAGGAGCGCGTGATGCGTCCGCTCAGGGGACACGTGAGAGGGCGCACCATGGTGGGTGACGAGCGGGTCAGCACCAAGCCGTGTGGCCACGTTGGTGTTCGACGCGCACCATGGCATACCCAGGAAGTACATGGATCACCAGGTCCAAACACCATGTTTTGGAGGGATTGGGCAGTGCGGGTGCGGTGCTAGTTCAAGGTAGTGTCCAAATTTTTAGGGCTGGAGACAGGAGGGTTTGGCGCCGACACCGGTTCCAAAAACTGCAGACACTCCACGTCACAGCCAGGTGGAAAGGGGGGTTACCCCTTCATTTGCATTCGATAGGCGAACAGTGGCCCCTCTACGATGGTAGGGGGTCAGTGTAGGCATAATACATGCATATATTGGCATATATGACATACATAGAGTGTTTGGGTTAGGGTGTGGCCTCGTAAACCACTAGAGCCGTCGGTCAAAGACGATCCATGATCCATCATGATCCGCTGAAACCTCTGAGGGGGATATGCCCACCAATTACCCGTTTTGGGGGAGCCGGAACCCATTCGTGACCCTTGGTTTTGTGATCTCAACTTCTTCATGCACAAGAAGACCTTGTTTCCAAACAACAGCGACTCCCTGCAACAAGGGCTCCCACCGCTTCCACTCACTTCCTGAGAGCCCAGAAAGCCCCGAGAGAGCGAGAGAGCTGAGAAGTGAGAGTCTTCAACTCGTGCTTTCCAGGTTGGTGGAGAATGATTCCACCATGAAGATGCACCCCGTAGTCACACTGCTGGACGCTTGGCTTTGGAGCCGATCCCCAGGCTGTGGATCAAACATGGTTGAATCCACCCGAGATAGGAGGTGACGATGTATGGTTCTTCTTTCTGCTGCACGAGTTTGAGTTCGAGTTTGAGCCGAACTCGACCGTTCGAGCCCAAGGTTTGAGCGTCCGGATCGCTCCTAGTAAGGCCCAGGGAGAGCGCGCCCCGAACCGTTCGGTTCGCGTCCGGATCGCTCCAGATCCGTGGTATGTTTCGGTTTCGGAACACCCGAACACCCGCGGATGGGAGTCCGAGGCCGTGACCTTCTTCGGCTTCCTGTGGGGCCCCACGGGGATGCTCCTTTCCGTGCCCATGATGACGTGCCTCGGCATGGGACAGCCGGGGGTCGGTGAGGAGGTGTGGCGAAATCGAGGAAAGCAGGGTGAGAAGGACTGGACCTGACGTTGTTGTTGCCCCATGTTGCCCCACTTAAAATTCAACAAGAGACCTTATAGACCTGAACTAGGGCCCTACCGGGCTAACTATGGGCTAAGTCTACAGGGTTCTTCAACCTCTGTTGGCGCTTAAAATTCAACAGGTGGCAAAAGGTAAACCTTTGTTTTGCAAAGAAACTGAGGGTCAGCATATGAAGCAAACTTTTCGGGGTGAGCGTGAAATCGAACATCCAGTACCTTTGCTTGCTCACCCACGCAGCCGAGTGATAAAACTGATGCCCACCGGACTAATGAAGCCTTTTCGGACAACATGTGACTGTGATGACCCAGTTTCCCTTCCCGCCACGTCCTGAGTCCCTCCAACGTCCAAGTGACGATCCCCACCGCTACGATCGCCTTCTTTTTGGGCACCCGCGCCATGGCGAAACGGGGGCACAGCACCAGGGGCAGGTGCCGCTGGTGGTTCATCTCCAGCATTCTCCGGTTTTGCCTTGTTTGGTTCGTCCAAGGTATTTCAAAGCCGTGCTCTTGGTGGAGTATGTGCCTCCCGGCTACCGGGACCCCTTGTTGATCCTCATTGAAGGTGATCGCATGGCACCCAAAAGGCCTGCCGCCGATCTGCATGGCAACGGGTCGATGTCGGCGGAGAAGGATTGTTTCAGGAAGCGATGAATGACACGACATCCTTCGGTGGCAGATTTCAGCACCAGGTTTTTCTCGCAAAAGAGGAAGATGGGAGGCGTACGGTCGACGTGGATAAGGAATCCTTTGGAGTTGATTTGTGATATGCGCACTCAAAGCCCAAAAGATTCTGGACACGTGTGGCAAGTGCACGCATATCCTCCTTCTTGACACCGATAGTGATGTAGATTCGTGTACGAATTCTGAAGACCTCTCCTACGATTGATGCTGGAGAGATGTTCTCCACACTTCCCTACGAGGTGATTTTGTCATGAAATACCACGGCAACACGTGTCATGCAATGGTTTGATTCTTTTGTGACTTGACACAATGTCATTACTATATGTAATATGCATAATAGATCTATTTATAGAGAGAGAGAGAGACAGATAGACATACAAACACATGAGAAGGTTTCATACCTAAGACCTGCTATTTGGATGCGAGGGCTCCAGGGTTGGGGAGTCTTTTTATCCGGACAAATCCAGCGATCCTTTCGTGTTTATTTGGCCATTGTTTAGCGATTTCACGCCGGTGTTCGATGATTCTACATATGCCGCTTGTGCCAATCAGTTATGTCTTGCAATGTTGGCATCACATGCTTGGGTTCTCAGGGTGCATCTGAGGTGTGCCCCATTCCTGTAGAGAGTTGGTAAAGGAGGAAGTGGTTTCGTGGTCGGCCTGCAAGATAGCCATCCTCCACTGAAACCTGGCAGGCACCGAGCGCGGATGAAGGACCTCAGCACAGAGGACCGACCACAGCCACCGGGCAGAACCCAAACGCATGAAGTCCAGCGCGCAAAAAGGAGCGTTTTTTGAAGTCCAAGAATTGGGAGACCCCCCAAGTTCTTGGTTCTCCAAGTGCTGAGTAGAGATCGTTCCGCTTGGAAGTTGAGGCTGACCAAGGCACACACGAATTCAATTCATCCATGTTCTTCTGTGAGAGCTGTCTTTCTGCGATTGCGCTTGGCACGCCAGGAGTGGCAACGGCAACGGCACAACTCCGACTGAAAAAGAGGAGTTCGTTTCAGAAGGGGGAGGCCTTCAAACCATCACCTATCTAACCTTGGGGAAGTATTTCTAGATGTGTCAGGTGTCTGGAGGGAGGCGAAATTTAACATCGGCAGACGAAGCCGCTTGGGGTTCCATGTGGCAGTTTCTTCACTCAGGTCTCAGGTCTCCTGTTGCGACTTGAGACCTTCATGGTGTTTCCGTTCGATCGTTGACGGATGGAGTGACCAATGTGTATGTGACAGTATGTGGCCTTTCACGGACCAATTGCGTGTGTTCCATGCTCTACATCCCGTTGGGATGTGCTGCTTTGTTGGGCGCATGACGTCTTCTTCTCGAAAAAAGTCACACCGAAAGACGAGAAGAGCCTCGGGCCCGTTGGATGAGACGACTCCAGAGACCAGGTCCAGAGGGGGTGGAAGGCTGTTGGGTCGTGTTGTTTCGCCGCTCGTCCCAAAACCAACCAATAGAGGTGGGTCAGGACCCGAGTTCGTTCGAGTATCCCAGGCCAGGGTACCCCAGGTTTTCCGGGTCCGAACGTTCAGGTCACTGGCGACCTCTCTTGGAAGGCGGGAAGAGGCGATGCGCCGCGTTGGCCGAGGTCAACTTGTCCATGGACGCCAGCAACCTCAAGGAAGAGGCCGATGTTCAGGGTCAGTCTCTAGAAACACCGCCGTGGTGAAGGTGGAAAGAGGTTCCACGACGTCCACGTTCGGAGTAAAGGCTCGGTGGGGCTTCGATGTGGATCCGTTGGATTCGAAGTCCGACCTGGACATAGGACCATCCGACCATGGTGTCCTGCCACATCTCTAAGCAGTCTATGGTAGTCGAGGCAAAACTCCATTGGATGAGTTGGATGGTCCTCAGGTGTCTCCATCCCTTTCGGTTCCGGTCGCAACTCCCTGGTCACATCTATGCATAGCACCGGCTGGCAAGCCAACCAATTGGCATGTCCTCAGGAGTCAAGGGAGTGAGAGCGAGTCAAGCGAGTCAAGTCCACCAGTGTCCCCGGTTCGTTGCCGCCATCGCAGCATGGTCCAATGGATCTCTTGACACCAGGGTTTCGTTGACTTGCCATGGCTAAGAACCGCATGATTCCACCACGGTGAACCAGAGGAGCAAAAGCTCACCACCTCCTGAAAGGCAATGGCAGAGCAAAGAAAACAGCCACCACCTCGTTTGAACGCACCAAAAACCACTACACGCCCGACACCGGGCAAGTCGAGGTGGTGACCCAGCGACTCCAACAGCACGCGGATGCCTTTCGGGACTCCTCCTTCGACGGGAGCTCCCAGTGTGGAAGGTGTGTGGGTGGAAGGGAGACCAGAAGAAAGGCGAGAGTGGAGACCGAGGTCGTGTCCAGGTCGCATCCAGTCCTGACATCCTGGCACACGAAAAGCCGACGGCTTTGGCTTATGGCCTTGCAGTAGAATTGGACGCCATTCCCCGACGCAGTTTTGGTCCTACCATGTCCTACCTGCAGGGTCTTTTTGATCGTTCCCTCTTTGGTGACCACTTTCCTTCGAAACCGGGTTGGATCCCTTGAGAACTCGAGGGTGTTGGGATGTACTTCGGGCTGTTGGGAGTGCTCTTGACATATGTTGAGATGTTGGGTGTAGCTTACGCTCTTGCCTTGTCTTGCTTCTTTCGAAGTACCGCGTGTCCTGTCGAAGTACCGTGTGTCCTCGACCAGCCGAAACCTCCGTCCATTCGAAGGACCCCACAAACCCGGGAACGGCTTTTGGGAGTGGTTTCAAAGATGTTTCAATCCTTCGTTGGATTCGGGAGAAAGACCAATGATATTCCGGCTGGGGCCCAGGAAGCCTAGAGGGTGGTCGAAGCGTTTCATCGCCACTGAGGACAATGTGAAAAAGGCCGCGCCGGGGACCGAAGCAACGGGTTGATGGCAGACCACCGGTGAAACCGGAGAAAAGTGTCGACTGGCACTGGTTTGGCCGATCAGGTGGTTTGTTATGTTCCCGAACTGGGCAAATCCCCTTCTGGTGATATGTTCTCGGTTCCTGAATTAAGCCAAATCAAGCATAAGTGACAGACCACCGGATGAAACAGGGTTCTTCACACTTTACGACCGAAATCTTCCATGTGTTACATTCGTAGCATCCTTGACTCTGTTCGAGTCGCGATGCCCTTTGTTACGTAGCGATGCTTCTTCCATCTAAGTGTTCCCACATGAACTGAACGCACGGTGCAACAGCACGGAACGCACACGACCCCTCATCCCCTCCGGTAGGCCGATCAGACTCCGATCAGAATGAGCTCAAAGCTGGAATCAGTCTGTCCTAAGCAGAAACAAAGGCTTTTCATAAGAATCCAAGACGCGACCCTGCGCCCGAATTTTTTGGAGGGGTTTGGGGTCTCAATTTCCGGTTTTGAGGGACCAGGGGCTGTGAACGGAGCATCTGGGCAGCTTCCCTGTTTCCACCAGAAGTCATGGGAGCACTTCCACTTCCGTGACCAAAAAATGCTTCTTGGGCGAAGGATGTCTTTTACAAGAGAGCTGACCCCAAGAGACCTTCTGGGAGATGAGTCTGACACAGAGACCTTCTAACAACTCGCAAAGGCAGGCCATGCGAGGGGAGGCTGGTCCATGTTCCCTTCGAATTGCAGGGGTTTTCTCTTGGGAGATCTCCCTAATTTGAGCTAATGTAGACTCATTGATTAATAAAGCACCCAATTGAAATGGAAAATCCTCTTCACATGGGGTTTACTCATGCGTCGAGTCTACATGATCTTTCTCTCTCACATCCCCAACCCGCAGGGGTTCCTTTTTTGGCCGCCAGGAAACCGACATCCTCACCGGACAACGGAGGTGCACGTCGACCGGCGACCGGCGACCCGGGATGATGCAACCGGCGACTCGCCCGTCTTGAACGCCCTCGACCAGCTGGAGCTGTCGGTGGAGCTGGCGTTGGTCGTCGAAACAGACTCCGTCAAACGCGCCATCCGTGGTGAAGGCTGTTGAATCAATGGTGCTTGGAATCCGTGTTTGGGCACGACTTCATGAAAGGAGATCTGTATCCGGAGCGGAAACGGCGCGCCATCCGAAAACGGGTGGGGGTAACTGGTGATCCAAGGGTTTTTGCGTCAACGAAGGGGTTACGGTAATCAGAATCTCACGAAAGGCCGTCAGGATCGACCATGGAGTGGAGAGAAGAAGAGTTCGTGGCTCACCATTGATTTTGTAGCTTGAATCGTGAAGAACCGTTGTTTTACTAAGGAGTTTGCACTACAAAACCACCTCAACCATTTTTGAAACTGGTCGAACTGAAGGCGAACGGGGATATGAAGATTCCCCCCAGTGAGCTCGACTAGGCCCTAGGCCCGTTTCATCCCGTGTTGCGAAACGACCAACAAACCAAGAAAAGAAAAGGTCATTTGATAATTTTCTGTTATCCACTGAATGGACTCTCTCCATTCTTGCCCCAAAACAGAAGTGCAGGCGTGCAAGCCAAACCCTGGCAGTTCGCCCTATGTCAATTACACCAAAGGTTGACCCAGGTCCCCTGGTCCTGAACTGGAGTTGGAAAACCTCATTGAGCCGTTCAAAAGAGAAGAAGAGAAACCTCCGTGCGTAGCGTCCGATCGCTCCGAACGTAGCAGTTTTGGTTCGATCAAATGGCAACGACCGGTTTGTGAAGATGCTACAAAAAAATGATCAAAAGAGGTCAATCCAACGGACCTGGTCCTGAGGATCCACCGCAGATCCACCGATGCATCTCGTCTTCTTCCGCAGGCAGCGCTTGGACGCTGCTGCCTTGGAGCGGGACGAGCGGACCTTCATCGAGCGCATCGAAGGGTGGGGCCGGACAGATCTCGTTGGGTGAAGACAGCCGAAGTCTGAAGTCTATACCAGGACACCCTAAGGGGTGTCTATTGATAGCCCCTTAGAGGTTAAGGGGTGTCCATTAACCACCCCTTGTGGGTCCGAGTAGAGAAGACTCAGTCTGAAGTCTGAAAGACTCATGTGATTTCTGATACTTCGCAGTATTTTGGTAAATACTGAGCAGAGTCAGTCAAACTAGGGTTTGGCGGATTGCGCACTATTCACTGCATAAATCAGGGTCTGGTGTTATGCCTTCAAGCATTCAAGCATCAATTGATATGTTCACATTTAGGGTGTGTCCCAGTCAACCCATAACAGTCGGTCAAGAAAGAAACCACCATTTTGGGGGGCAGTCGTCGCACGACTTCCCCAACTGAAGGATTCCTCCAATGCGACGGACACAATCCACCACACATCCACGACCGACGGTTTTCCCCTTTCATCGTCGTGAGGGACTCCGAGACTTGAGGGGCCTCCACCTCCCCCAAAGGAGGGGCGAGGGGCCACCGAATAGGGGAACTACAGGAGTTGGGGGAGGTGGAGGCCCCTCAAGCTACTGGGAAGCCCCACAGCCCCCCAGCCGGAACACGTCACGTGGCTGGCTTTGGAGCGGCATCGCGTCGATCAGTCGATCGTCGAGACCGCTGTGGCCGCTTCAAGGAGCCCGGTAAGCCGTCGGTCGCTGCGAGCTTTCGCCGAAGATCGGCGGCCAAAAGCCTAGAAGTCCAATTAGACTATAGGACTAGACCGACTGAAGGCAAGGAAGTTCCTGATATCGGATACCTATTTTTGACCATTCTTTTCATAGTCGACGGGACTCCCAGCCAACATGGCCATGTTTCTTTCGCGAGGCTGGTGGGCAACAAGTCAACTCCAGCGGAGCCTCAGGGGCGGGCGGATTTCACCCAGAAGGTTGGAGGGAGGTTCCGAAGTTCCTTGGATTTGCGTTGGGGAAAGCAATAGCTGGGTATTCTATTTGGATGTTGTTCGAACTGCCTCCAGTTACTGACTCCCGTAAATGTAAAGGACCATCACCCGACAGAGGTGGTCTTGGCAGCGCTCCAGTTCGAGGTTGCACCGTCATATGGAGTAGAATGGGTTTTGGACATTTGTTATACCCAGAATTGCTTACGAAAAGGGACAAATCGAGGAAACCCATGGTGTTTGGAGCGAACGGCCGGTGTCCCGATCTTTCCCTTCGGAGTGAACGGCGCCGTGGGCGTCGAAGCACCGAGGCCATCCGCCAGCTCCGGCCCACACTGAAGAAGACCAAGTCCCTCCGGCATGGGAAGAAGGGGATGAGGGGATGAGGGGCAGACGCGACCCTGGACCCGAATCCTCTTGAGGGGTCTGGGGTCTCAAATCCCTAGGTTTTGAGCATTTGGGGGGCAGGAGATGGCAGGAGCGACCCTTTTGCCAAGTGGCAAGTGGGCTGAGATCGTCTTAGGCAGTGGAGGGGCGTGGTGAAGCGCCCACCGAAAATCGAAACGATACTGGATGTGACACCAGATTGCTTGGCCGCTTGGCCTTTGAGTGCACTTCAAGGTCTCACACCTAGCAGGGGAAAGGGCGAGGAAGGAAGATGGATGGGTATGTAAATTTACTTCCTGTCACGACCCCTGTCAGCAGAGTTGATGCCCAAACCCAAGCAAGGGCTTTGGAGGTTTCGCAAGCAAAAAGACTGATGATGACTCAAGCAGCGGCTCGTGACTCATGACAATCTAGATGACAATGGGGTTGCACACCTTGCAGTCATTTCAGATAGATCAAATTGCTGACGCCATCACTAAGTTCTAGCCGGGATCCCCTAGTAAACCTTCACTCTCCATCGGTGCTGAGTTGGGCATACCAGATTCGTTTGAGAAGAAGCCTTGATCCACCAAGTGGGCTCACCAACAGAGGTTGAAGAACCCGACTATTCGACTATCCCATAGTTAGCCCAGGTTTTCCGGGGACTCGTTCAGGTCTAGTTCAGGTCACTGTCCACCTTTGTTGGTCGATGCTCCGCGTCTCCGTCCCGCCAGGAGCATGCCGAAGTTGCTGGGTCAGCGCGTGCCGGACCGCGGAACCGCGGTTCCTCGCGGGCTCGCGGGCCTCACCTGAATCCCACTGGACTCATGACATCTCATGACTCATACTAACATCACCTGAAAAGGGACGCAGCCTTGGCTTTTCTTGACCTTAGACGCTTGCGCTTCAGAACCACTTCATCCCACTTCATGACATGGCTGGCTCGCCGCCGGTCACGACGGACAAACGGACGGCTGCACGCGGAGCCACCGTCGGCGCTCGCTAGGACTCGAAACCGAAGCTGGCGGGCAAGCCCACGGCGGTCCTGGTGGGGGCGCCCATACCACAGCGGCCGATGGGGAGAGGTGTAGTACACACGCGCAGGTGGACCGCTGCAGTGGTAATGAGGATGGCCAAGAGCGAAGCAGCAAGGTGACTGTTCGAAAATTCTCAGCCCCATCAGTTTAGTGAGCTTGGTCCCATCCACTTTGAGCCGGTGAAGACCCAACGGTGGCACCTAGAAAAGAATCGTCAGTGAGAGATGGATCAAGACTGATGCACCAAATGAATGTGAAGGATTTGGCGATCACCATTGATCCACAATAAGTCGCAGCGACAATCGCGCCCAGGTTCCTGAACCTTTTGGGTGATTGAGAGTGACACAATGCCCAATTCAAAGTTGATATGCCCATCTAGAAGACATCCAGGGGTGTTTGTGCCATCTACTTCTTGAAACCACTTGCGATCCCCCAAACCTTTCAAGCGTTTTCCGTTTTCCAAAGGACCATCCAGCTACTGTCTACGCCTGTGGTTGCACATGGTACCACCTGGATCGAGCTGAGCTGCTTGGTGCTGAGCTGCTCAAACGCTGCCCGAGTGGCCCAGGAACAGATCTCCCGGCAGATGGCTCAAGAGGCTGGGTGATGTGGTGGGTCTTCTTCGGAGATTCCTCACAAAAAAAGAGATGTCAACCGAAACCATGGGTGATGTGATGGCTGAAATGTCGGTGGCCTTTTACCATTGGTTGAATAGAGGGGACACCCCCGGTGGTGAACACCGGTGTACCTGGCATTGACCTTCCGATTGCTCCCAAGTACGGACACTGCTGAGTGATGCTCAACTGAAACTCCCATCAGGTCAACTGAACCATTCCTCTCGCCCGAGAAAAAACGAAAACCTGCCTAAGTTTCGGCGACAGGTTTGGTGAGGTGGAGGAAAACCATGTTCTGAAGCCCAGGAATTCCGCTTCCATGATCGATTGCTTGAATTTTGGTTTGATGTTCTGCGAGAAACGAGCCTCACAGGCGAAAGATCCAGGGAGTATTTATCAAGAGTCTACCTTACTTAGATCTGACTGGCAAGGAGGACCCTGCAGATTTGTTGGGTCTTTCTCTTTTGGGAACTGAGCCAGGAAGAGGAGGTGTGGATTCCGTACACCAACCATGTTTGCTGGAGGGTTCGCCCAAATAGAGCACTCACTGTACCGGTCACCCGGTTGGGTCCGGTGGTTGGGACCTTCTGGTCTATGAACCGCTTATACATACAAGATAGACACCGAAAAGAAGGAAGGTCAGAGCTTGTTTGACAGTCTTCCGGCTGGTGTAGTGGGTCTCTTCTTGGTGGCCGGGCTGGGATTGGTCTCCGCCTGAAAGCGGGATCGCTCGTCCCACGCAACAGGTGAGGGCGGAGACGCTGGAAATCAACATGGAGGCGAGTCTTGGGGTGGCAGGAACTGCCATGGTCACCCGAGGTTTTCTTGGGATTGGTGACACGGCAGCGCTTGAATGTTGCTTTTTTAGTTTGGTTGGAGTTGAGGAAGTCCCTTTGTCCACAACGTTTTAACAGGAACTTCCCTGGGTTTTTGGGAACATGCCATGCACCTTTGGTGACCACTTCTTGACCCGTCGTGAGCCTTTTTCCGCATCGTACCGCCGCCACTTGCTTGCTGTGTTTCGGAGATTCTGGAAGCCGAGCATGATGTCCAAGCGATGAGGTACACTCCCCGGAAAGGTTGTAAAACCGCCTCCTGGAAGACCATTCCTCCACAAAACAGGTAGCTACTAGGAACAAGTGCATCGCTTCTAGTAATAAGTGCCTTACTAGTAGTAACAATGCTTGCTATTAGAAACAATAAAAAGGAAGAATAGCCTCCTTTACTACTAGCTTCTTGTTACTACTAGTAAGGCCCTTTGCTCCTAGAAGCGATGCACTTGTTACTAGTAGCATCTAGTAGCGATGCACTTGTTACTGCTAGCTTCCTGGCAGACTTTGGGCGAAACCATTTTCCGGAGAAGCGACACCCGTCGCAGGTGGAGAAAGTTACTTGGACTCAGGTCTCAGCGGGGAACCTGCTGGGAGGCGCGATGTTGAAGTGGGAGGCTGGAGGTCTACATGTTCCGAAACACTGGAAATCACTATGGTGGCAGCACTGAGGAACAAAACTCTACATTTTGGCCTTTTATATTTTCCTTTTTGATTTGTTCTAGTAGCGATGCCCTGCAACCTACTAGCGATGGCCTCCAACCTAAGAGCGATGCCCTTCAACC